ACTATCACACTTTCGCAGATTGGATATACTATTTTATATCACTTCTAACAATGTATAAGCAATTCATTTTCTCTGCATCTTCACTGCTTTGAGTGTGGTTCCTATTTGTTTATGTTACCATTTTGATACATGTGTGAAGATATCTGTGATTTTAGTTTGCATTTGTCCAGTGGCTAATGAAATTGAACATCTTTACATGTGGTCATTTGCACATAAGTGTATCATCTGCAGTGAAATGTCTGCTACTGTTCTTTTTTTTTTTTAATTGAGATTATTGGTACAATCTAGGTACAATACAATTACATTCATCACTGGGATTCTGTACCTTTACATAATAGGTCTTGATTCTCATTTTTCCCCTTGTCCCTGCCCTCCCTTCACCCCCTCCTCCCCTCCCCATTTACAAACACTTTATTTCCATTTTTTCAGTTTCTCATATTTTTTTCCTCTCCCTTATTACCTTTCCCCCACCCTTCCCACTTTCCTTACACCTTTAGCCCTTTACTTCCTATTTCACATTATTAATTGTCTCATTAGGATCCTGTGTACTATTATAGTTTTTCACACCAAAGAAACTATTCGGCATTTCAGTTAAAGAAATCTCTGTATGAACATTAAAAATAGGGAATCCTAAAATAAAACTAAAAAGGAAAGTAAAAGAGAAAAGGCAATGATGTAACATCAAAATAATCCTTAATTCTGGAGATGAAAATGGTCCCTGAACATATTTAAATTGCTTCTCCCTCTTATAGTCTTATCTTATTCTTTTTTTCATTACTTAGAGAATACTTTATTAGTTTCTGTAATCAAACCCACGTAGATATGACCTTACATATTTAGTACGATGTGTTACCCCTGTACACATGGAAAAAAAAATTAATTAACATTTCTAGACCAATATGGTTGTCCATTTCTGTACAATGCCAAGTCAACACAGTAAATTGGGATGACTTTTTCCAAAGTTGGCAGCACCATTAAAGTTTCCCAAAAATCAATATATATATGTGTGTGTGTGTGTGTGTGTGTGTGTGTGTGTGTGTGTGTGTCTGTGTGTATAGAGAGAGAGAGAGACTAATAATAGTATGTTATGCATCAATAGCAGCAACAGCTTTTCCAGGTTCTGCAGTCATCTGAACAAAATTATAGACATTCAGCACATTCCATTAAAAAAAAAAAAAC